GGGCGGGGCGCGGCGCACCATGCTCGGCGGGGGCTGGCGGGGCCTCGGGACCGCCCTGGCGGCCCTGGGAGCTGGGGCCCTGCTCCGAGCCGGTACGTGGGGAGGGCGGTGCGGTTCGTCCGGGGATGCGCCCCGGTAGGACCCGCCGGGCCGGGCAGCGCCTCCAGGGCGGCCGGGCCGCGGGGCGGAGGGGGGGGCCGGGGCGTGGGGAGCGGTGGGATGTCCGCCTTGCAGCGGGGCCGGGGTGTGTGCAGTGACCTCCTTGCAGCCGGTGCCGGGGCGGAGGGGACGTGCGATGTCGTCCCCCCTCCCTTGCAGCAGGGACAGGGGAGGGGGCTGCGCTGTGCCCCCGTACAGCCGGGACCCGCAGGGAGCTGGGCGGCTGCAGGCACCCGGCCGTGGGTGGCCGGCTCTGGGGCTCAGCCCGCCTGGCAGCGGGTCCCCCGGCAAGCTTGGAAGTTTGATCGTGGTTTTTCTCTTCTCGTTTCCCGGCTCAGGGGTGCGCCGAGGTTTTTAAGCTGACTCACAGCCCCAAGTAGGTCAGTATCTGCTTAGCTGGAGCCTGTCTCTGTCGGTGGCTTTTCGCATCGATAACCCACCAGGGAGGCTCCTGCGGTGGTTTTGGGCTGCTAAAGCGCTCGTTATTGCTCTGGGAGGAGGGCTTGGGGGACTGGGGCTGGCATTTAAACTGGATTTGGTGAATGGCAGACTTTATTGGCAATGTAAACAAAAAACCAAAACTGTCTAAGCTCTGCATTTAAATTTAGGGCCTAAGTTCTGAAAGCATCTCCTTGAACTAGAGCTTGGGCTTTAGTTTCACAGCGTCTCTGGGGAGTCTTTCCAGAGGCCTTTTGCATCACTCCCGTTTTAAGACCTGGCCTAAATGAGCGAGAATCCACTGGAGTTAACTGCCAGACTTGGAAACCCTGATGCTATCTTGGGAACAAGTATGTGAAACCCAGTAACCAGCAGCTCCTGAGTTCCCCAGGTTGCAGGGTGGGTGCTGCACTTTCCACGCAGGCTTTGCTCCACCAGTGTGTGGGTGCGTGCCCTGCCCATGCCGGCTGGAGCCAGCTGTGCCGCTGGCAGCGTGTGCCAGGTGGGCAAGTCGAGTGGGAGTGGGTGTTGCCCTGGGTTTGTGGACCAACTCACTTGGTATTGTGTGGAGCCACAAACTCGCTGGGTATCCATCTGCGTGCAGAGTATGTAAAAAGTGAATGTAGTGTTTCTTATGAGGCAATGCAGGGATGTTCATCTGGCTATGTGCGTGCAGTCATTTTTGAGTGACAGCCATGTTGGAAATAGGAATTTTCCACTCTTTTCTGTAATAAAAAGAGTAAAACAAAATGCTATGGAGAAAATGTATGAAGCACCCCTTTTCTGAGAAAACCTTTTTTACACTGTGCTGCTGCCTGCTTGCCTTCAGACTCCAGCATGTATGCGTTTATGTGATAATGTTAATGCTTCCCATCTGCGAACCCTTTCCTCTTGGCGACTCAAGCTGCAGTAACAAACCGTTCCAGAAAGCCGAAGCGTGTGATTCAAAGGCTGCTGGTGTTCTGCTCTCCCCAGTCCTCTCTGCTTCAGGCATGAAGTCGGGAGGGATGCGTTACAAAACTGAGCAAAAATGAAGTCATTGGGCATTAATTTTGGAGCAGACCGGCATGTGTTACAGTGATCCTGAAACGATCTGTGTTAGTGCTGGGCCAGGGCAGGGGTTACCTATTGCCTGGGGAGCTTCTTTGAGCACAACTGGGGCTGAGAACGCCCTTCTCGTAAGAGCAGCGCTGGGCGTGCGTGAGAGCGCTTCTGGTCTGCTCACCAAGTGGGCAGGCTGGAAAGGTGCAGCTTAGCTGCAGATGGGAATTCAGAATGAGTTTCATACTTCATGGATGTTTTCTCATTCCTTTGTTTAAATTACATTTTAGAAAACGTTTCCTTATGTGGTGTAGCTTGTTTGTTTGTTTTGTAAGAATTGTGAATTAAACATGCAAAGAGACTTTGGGATCATGGCCAAGGTTAGAAATGGTTCATAGGAAGAAAGCATTTTAAGTATGTGAATAATTCCTTTGACTTGAAGTTAAGGCTGTGTTTTCTTTTGTTTGTTTTTTTTTTCTTCCAGTTAGTCTCTAGTATGCAAACAAACATGCAGTATATATAGCTCTTGTGACTGATAGCATCCAAAAGTGCTTCGTGTTAGGGAGCAATTAAAGAGCAATTGATTTTTTTTTTTCTTTTTCCCTATCAAGGAGTAGTAAGGGTTTTGTTTTGTTTTGTTCTTTTTTTGAAAGGACTCTTCTGCTCCAGAGGAACACTTGGCAGGTATGGATACTTTCCTCAATACTACATGCCTTCACCGTCAAATACCTAGTGCATGCCTACACTGTCATGCCTTGGGGTTTTCTTTGCAGCACTGTGTTTAATTTTACTACCATCTCGCCTCCTTACCTCGCTTCCCTCATAAGCAAGTGAGATGGTGGAGGTAGAAGGGGGAAAAAAGTTCTGGGCAGGACAGTTGTACCAGAGGGGCCTTACAGGTCCCACTGCCCTGGCGCTGGGTGTGCAGCAGCAGCTGCATGCCCCAGTCAGAACTTGGAATGGGATTTTGCAGCCTTGTTGGCCCCTTCGGTCTGTGGAGCTGCAGGGTGGGGGCTGTCCATGTTGGCTGGAGCCAGGCTGTGGGGCCTCTTCTCTCTAAAGCGGGCTCTTATCAGGCGTGGGCAGGACTGACCTGTTTTGGGAGACTGGGGCAGGTTGATTAGGAGCATGGTGACCCCTCCCTTTGGCACTGGTGGAGGTGACCAAGCACTGAGCGTCGGGAGCCTTAGGGAGAGAGTCAGTGGTGCAAAATGAAACAGCGGCTGAGCCAGCATAGTTCAGACCAACGCAGTCACGTTCAGTGGCATGCGATGGCCTTGGGCGTTAAGACAACCGATTTCTGACTTGCAGAGACTGATGCTTCTTTCCCTGCACGTGTATGGACCCAGGCCTGAATTGCAGTGCCCCAGCAATGGAAGACCTTGTCCTCTTTGTTTCCTTTCCTTTTTTTTCTGGCAGAGCCTCTTAGGGCTTGGTTGTTTCTTTAAGAACTGCGTATCTGTGAGTTGAACAGTGGAGCCCGGGTTATTTACATCTGGAATGAGATTTTCTTCTTGGATCTGATTAAACATTTAACCAAAAGCAAACAGGGGGAAGCACTGCTGTTGCATCAAGGTAGCCTGCGAGTAAGAAACCTGCCCACAGTGCGTGCCTGGTACCTGGCCAGGTGGGGAGCCTTGCCTTCCATGCAGAGAGCATGTCTTTTCTCTATGCACTGTGCAGGATGCGATTTCCCCAAGTAACAAACCAGATGTTTCTGTTGTAGCAGTGTGTGTATTTCTGTATTTTTCTTTTTTTTTTTCCCTCCTTTTTTGTCTTTTGGCTGTAACATGGCCTTTTGTGCTTTTTTTGCAAAGTCACTGTCGCAGGCTGACCTTTGTCCAGCTGTTCCCTCTCTGTTCTGCCTTCCTGCCCCTTGAAATCTTCTCTCCAATCAAGGTATAGCGCTTTCACTGCATGAGCACATCTCTGGGAGAAAAGTGTCCTGTCCCTCTTCGGCGCAGCTGCAGGGCACTAAGAGCCTCCCGTGCTGTGGGACACAAGGTGACACAGCCAGGCATTAAGGCTTTGTCCCGTGGTGGCCTCTCTCCTATTCCTCTGAAGGAGGCATGTTGGGCTGTCCATAGCCTTCCTTCTCTGGGGCCATGGGCTGGGGGACCTGCTGTGTTCTGTCCCACTTGTTCCCCTCCCTAGGCTAACCTGAGGTTTGACTGTTTTGCGGTCCCCAGGTCCAGCACAGCTGCGAGCTGTCTTCCTGCACACGGAGCACGAGCGGAGGCAGTCGAAGACGGTCACACAAGCCGACATGAAGGTGGAATTACTCCCAGCCCTCACAGACAACTACATGTACCTCCTCATTGATGAGGAAACGAAGGAGGCTGCCATAGTTGATCCTGTGCAGCCCCAGAAGGTAATGCTGTCTGCTGCCCTTGTGAGCAGGGTGCTCACTGCTGCGGGTCTGGGAGATCCTTCCAGGTTGCCACATCCACGAGAGAATTAGTCATACACTGACTCAGGCGTGGGGGAAAGGCAGGAAATACTGGCCATACATAGGTACGGGCAGGACTTCACAGGCAGTCTGCTTCTGGGCTCAGGCAGCTTGTCCCTGACTTCAAGGGTTATTGACCTGATTTTGGTTTTTGCCCTTAGTTTGATGTAGTGCAGGAAAGAGGAGATGGGACTGAGGGCTCAGTCATGGCTAGCTCGATCAGAGACCATGTGTCCTGACCTGTAACTACGACTTGGCAAAGGATGAGCTCTCTGCAGAGTTGTTGGTGTGGTGCTCTCAAACCTTGGAGCAGTTGTGTCCAGGTTACACCAGGCACCAGGTGTGCTGTTAAGTCATTTCACGTAAGTTGTAATGCTCTTGCTGTCCCCTGTGCCTGCAGGTTTTGGATGCAGTCAAAAAGCATGGCGTGAAACTGACCACCGTCCTGACCACACATCATCACTGGTAACTATCTGCTCTAGTGGGATCTCTCTTCCCTCTGCATAAACACAAGCAGTCAAGAATTGTTGCTTTTCTGGATCAAGTTGGTCTTCTCTAAGCAGGGGCTTAGATGTGAGAAGAAAGATCAGAGCTCAGGAAGTGTTCCCTTGGGCTTGCTATGACCAGATGCATTGTCTAGACTGCAAGCTCTGTGGGCCAGTGCCTTTAACCTTTAAAATGCTGACTTCTTCCAGGTGGCCAGTGAATAAATGCGGGTGAAGGTAGCTGTGGAGTGTGGGAGGGACCACGCTCACACTGAAGTGCTAGGACATGCCTGTAAGGCATGCTACTCGCAGTCAGCACTTGTGGGAGGATTACCTGCGTTGCAGATTAACTCTGCCAGGGACATAAAGATGAATGTTCCGCTCTAGCAGTTTTGCAGTGCTGAACCTGAGTAACCTCTCCTGTGGGTCATAGTGGAGCCATCTCTGTGGCTGGAGAGCCAGCCCTGATCTGCCAGGATCAGCACTGTAAGCGAATGCTGAGCTGTTTGGACATCTCCACGGTGTCTTGTGGGACACTGAATTACACATATCCCAGTTATCCCAATCTCTTCCTGCCCTAGTTACTGGAGAGTTGACCGTGAGCCCCTAAGGCTGGTGTTTCCCAGCTAGGTATAAACCTGTGGGGGGTTGTTCCTCCCTCTCACTGCCCTAGTTACTGGAGAAATTGTCTCCACTTGTGTTGATGTGGCATATCCTTTGATATGAGGGCAGTGTTAGAGACTGGGACACTAGTTGATCAGAAATGATCACCTTGAGGTTACCATTGCAATATGAGTTATGATAAATTTGTCTTCATCTCTGCCCAAACCATTTTTCTGACCTTCCAGGGACCATGCTGGAGGAAATGAGAAGCTTGTAAAGATGGAGACGGGGTTGCGTGTGTATGGGGGAGACAGCAGAGTTGGAGCACTGACACAGAAAGTGTCTCACCTTACATCACTCAAGGTAAAGGGAGTGAGCTGCAGGACTTGGTTGGGGACATCTCCCGTTTGTGTCACAGCTTTAGAGCTGGACTGGTGTGGTCCAACTTGAGTTAATATTGTGGTCACAGCTCTTTTACCTTTTAACATCTCTTGGATGTGGTTGATAGTTTAAGTACAGCTTTCACCCTTTTCCAGCCCTGTGAACCATAACCCCTCTGTCTTGTTTTGGCCGGTGATACTTCTTCATTGATGAGAACACTGGCATGGCTCAGACACCTGCGTTGCCTGGGGTGTGCTGGGTGTCCATGTGCTCCTTGACAGCTACCTTAGCTGAGGTGGTCAGGACAGACGTGTGGAAGGACAGGGCTTGTGCTCTGCTTAGAGCCTAGTTAGCACCGAACAAATGCAAGTGGTCCTCTCTGAATGAAGGCTGGAATACAGGGTGAAGAGAAAGTGGGCCGGCAGTGCTAGCTGTCTGCATTGCTTTTCCAGAGCTAAAGCAGCAAACCTTGTTGGTACCTAGCTGTTTGTTTACAGATGAACTGGCAGATGACATAAACTGCTGTGAAATGTGCAGGCTGGTATGAATATCACTGCTAGTCCTGTGGTGCACCTTTGGGGGGGGACAGCAGCAAAGAAGGGAAAACAGAAATACATGGGAAGGTGTGCAAATCAGGGCTGTGGGGGAAACATCCCCTTGGCCTCATGAATGTGTTTAATCCTTCCCTTTTTATGAGTGTCATCCACTTCTTCCCTTCAGCTTCATTTTTGTTTGGAGCTTTTTACACTTGATTAACTTTGTTTAGGATTTTGTGTTGCTCTGGATCTGTTTGCTCTTGCTGCCAACCAGACGCTGAGTCACTCTGCATGTAAATGAAAGAATCTGGTGGTTCTCTTTGTCACAACACCTGCTAGGAGGAAACAGCTCCCTTCCAAGTCCCTGCCATAAAACCCTCTTGCTGGACTCTCACAGGAGCAGAGCTGATGTTTACTGGCCAGCTGTGTGAGAATTTGCCTGTAGGAGTACTAGACCATTGTAATAGTTGCAATTCTTTTCTAATCATACAAATGCTAGCAAACAGTAGCTTAAGCTCTAGTCTTCTGCCTTCTTCTCAGGTGGGATCTCTTAATGTGAAATGCCTCTGTACGCCGTGTCACACTTCTGGACACATCTGTTATTATGTGACTAAGCCAAATAGCTCCGAGCCACCTGCTGTTTTTACAGGTGAGGAGTTGGGAGGTTACATCGCCGGCAGTCTGTGTTGCAAAGGAATAAGCTACCCCTCTGCCTGTGTGCTCCTGACTCTGGATGTGCATTCATCCCTTACTGCCAGTGCAGCTGGTTAACATCCACATCTTGCCCCCTTACCAAGTGCTACCAGGTAGCAACTGTAGAGGAAGCCTGTGATACCCCTCTGGGTTTGTAAGCCATTGCTGGACACCCTGCAAGCAACATCAAGAGCGATATCTGGAGGAGTCCTACATCTAGCATTTTCTTCCTTGAAACAAGAGCTGTTGTTTTGCTGTCTCAGACCAAACTGTGGCTGATACCAAAACCCGTTGCTTTTCCATATATCTGTACTCATGTCTGTAACAAAACTGAGAGAAGAGAAAATAAGGGAGTAAGACAGGGCTGGTGCTCCATCTCTGGTAGCCAGGTTCTGGATCCTGTTTTGGAGAGTAGGGTTCCCCCTTCCCTGAGACTGCGCCCAGTCTCCCCAGACTGCCATGTCATCCCTCTCCTGATGGGCATTCTCCAGAGCTTTCACCAGCTGCTGCATGGAAGAAGTAACGGCTTAAGCAAGATTTTAGGGAGCACTGGGGAGAAAATGCAGAGGCGACTCATCTTTGTTGAACTTCATAGCAAAGAGAACAAGTGTTCCTTGTCCACTCTAGAAAGGACAAGAGGGGACAGCAGACTGCCCACAGGTAGGGAAGTGCTGGCATGGTTTGCCTGGTGAGGCTGTGGGGTTTCCTGCAATTAGAAGTTGCGTTTGCCGCGTGGGTTTATGTAGCACTGAGCCCGTATGGGGCAGCAGTGTAGCCTGGCACTCTCTGTGCCTTCTGCTGAGCTGCAGCCAGGACGGCAATGGCAGGACTGAGCCCTCGGGGACCGTGTGCTCACACTTTGGTGTGAGGAGACTTGTCTGGTCCTGATGCCGTGTCACGCCTCCCTTGCAGGTGACACACTCTTTGTGGCTGGTTGTGGGAAATTCTTCGAGGGAACCCCGGAGGAAATGTACAGAGCACTGATTGAGATTTTGGGCAGCTTGGACCCCAAAACGGTATGAGCCTCTCCTTTTGTGCTAGTAAGTTAACCAGCCAGAAACTACTACAGACATCAAAGAAACTATCTTCCTAATAATACTGTTGTGCAAAGAGAGAATTTCTCATGTGTTGAAGGAATGAATGCTTACATCAGGAATTGTCTTTGATGCTGAATAGCTGGAGTCGTCTGGGAAGGAAATACCTGCCCCAAATACGTTTGTGCTTTGTGGGAAAAGAGTAGGGGCTGCTTATTAAAGGCTAGTGAGCTGGGATGCCTGGGCTCTTTCATCAGGCTTGCCGTTAAATTGGCAGATAGTACTGGCTGATAACTCCTGGCACTGCTCCTGTGCATGTCTCTGGCGGAGAGTGTCGTGTATCCAGGAGGGCTGACTCTGTTGTTCCTGCTGTACCATAACATCGATGATGGTACCTGACACTCTACCTTTGTACCTTCAGAGTTACCCGGTGTCACTCTTCCTTTCTCTTCCTAGAAAGTTTACTGCGGTCACGAATACACAATCAACAATCTCAAGTTTGCTCGACATGTTGAACCCAATAATGTCGCTATCCAGGAAAAGCTTGCTTGGGCCAAGGTAAGCTGGTTCATCCTTTGGCTAGACTTGATGCTTTCATGGAGGCAGAGCCTCTCTGAGGAGGTAGAGGAGAGAAGACAGCGTTGGGGAGAAAGAGGCTGAGGGAAGGGAGTTAAGAGTCAGAAGCTGCAATATGTTGTGCGTCCAGGGGAGCGACGTATTGGGGAGCACGGTTTGTGTGTGGCCCAGAGAAGACGGCTTGCTGCCTGGTGGAGATGTGACCCTCCCTGGAAACTTCTTGGTATAATTACAGGCTGATGTCCACGTCTGTCTGGGAGGGTCAGCTCTGTCCCAAGTCTCTCTGCGTGTGTCTCAGTGCTTGTCTGTCTGGCTGTGTGCATGGCCCTGGGAAGGGCCTGCCCTGAGGAGAGCTCAGGCAGTTAGGTGCAGCACTGAGCCTGTGTGGTTCATATACAGGACGTTTCTTGTTCACCAAAACATTCCTCATTAAGCAGAAATCTCTCCCTCGTTACAGGCAAAGTATGACGGTGGTGAGCCAACCATACCTTCCACCATTGCAGAAGAGTTTACGTACAACCCCTTCATGCGAGTGAGGTATGGAGGAGATGTGGGTGTGGGAGTGGTCCTTGTGTTTGGAGGGGGGATGTGGGAAGGAGGAGGTCTCCAAAGAAAGAGCTGTAAGTGGGGATTGCTCTCCTGCCTCGCATATTCCTGTTCTGAGGCCTTCAAGACTCTTCTTAAAATATACTTGCTGTCCTAGAAGAAGCTTGCTGCAGTGAAACTTGAAGGGTTGTGGTGAGCATCTTTGCCAGTGCTGAAGTCCCTGACTCAGGAGACAGAACAAGCTTCATTGTGTAATTACGTTCCTTCATCAAGCAGTTTGGCAGACAGGCGCAGCAAAAGATGCTGTTCAAGGAGTAAGAGTGTTTGCAGTTTCCTCTTGCCAATGAGCGTTTAAACCAAGGGAGGTGATAAGCCTGTGCCAAAGCCCTGAGTGTTTGATCTTCAAGTATAACATTTCCCCTTGATGCAGGCAAAACATGATAGTAGTGACTTCATATATAAGATTTTTATCTTTCAGTCTTTGCATTTGCTGTCCCTGGTGTTCCCTCCTGGCAGGGAGAAGACGGTTCAGCAGCACGCAGGGGAGACTGACCCCATCCGAACAATGGGGGCCATCAGAAAAGAGAAGGATAACTTCCGAGTCCCGAAGGATTGAGCACTCTACCTGGATCACTTTAATGTCAGTTTAAGTGTAATTTAGACTATTCAGATGTTTTAGGAGTTGAACCTTCTGTTGTGGTTGAGACAGTCATATTTAGGTTTTTATTTTGTTTTAATTAAGGAAAAAAAAGCACTTTGTCCTTGTTGAGATGTTCTACAGCATATTTATATTATGATGAAGAATATTTATCCTTCTATTGCTGGCTCTCAAACTGTCACATGTCACATGCAGATCATTTTACAAGTGTCGGTACGTGGCTCAGAGTCTGGGGTGGGGAAGGGTCAAACCTTGAGGTCTAGGAAAAGGCTCTTGTCACTTTTGTAGGAGCCTGACATGAATGCAGACAGTGGGACTGAGGCCTGAGATATCTTCATTTAAAAAAGAGACAAAATGCAGTAACTACATTGCCAGCTGAAGATTTGAACTTTTTGTCCATGCTGCTACTTAAACAAGCACTTCTGAGTCTGTTGCTTCTGGCTCCACTAAAACCAGTTCTCAGGGACAGACCTGCTCTGCCACTGCCAGTTCAGGGCTTAGTTTGTGAAATACGCAGGGTGGTCTGGCCCTGGGAATGGCACATGGGGACTGTCCAGCTTTTCTCTTCTCTCTGACCTTCCCTGTCGTGGACTGCAGTAACTTTTCCAGGCAGCATGCTGGCTTAGAGATTGCACTGTTGCTTATACCCTTTCTCTCTTAACTTAAGGCTGTTTGCATGTACCTGCTTACTGCTCTTAAGTGTGAGCTGTATGTTAACTTGTATTAGTACCACACAAACGAAGAAGGGATTTGTCTGCTGGTTCAAAATCCTGAGAAGAACTTACCTAGTGACTAACTGCGTGTCTAACAGATCCTCCCAACAGATGCCTTGCTGCCGATAGCCAGAACAGCGGCTTTGTACCTTGCTGTGAGTAATGTGGCAAAGGAGCATTTATTAGCCGGGTGCTGTTCCTCAGTGAGAGAGCGACTGTTCTGGTGAGCACCGGCCGTAGCCGTGCTGGGCCTGGGAGACTCCAGCTTACGGGCCTGACTTACAGTGGGTGCTGTGTGCTGCTGGGGTCGATCACCTGCCCTGCAGCCCCTGCCTGGTCCAGCCTCTCTGCTAGGAAAGCCACAGAGGTGATGTTACAAATAGTGAGGGTGTCCACGTATTGCCAGATTTAAACAGGGCTCGGATCTCAGACCCCCGGAGAAACCCCATTAGCCTGGCACGTTTCTTTTCCTTGGCTGGTCGGTGGGGCTTAAAAGCCATCTCTGTTCTTGGACTAGTGCTGTATGACCCCTGACAGCAGCCAGCTTGAAAACTGCAGGGAGGGAACTTCCCCTTGGGCTGTTTTTCTGACGCAGGAATAGCGTGTCGAAGTGGATGAATGGGATAAACTTTGGGGGAAAATAAATCCAGATTTTCCATGAGTGGGTCACCCCCCTCCTGCACTTCCCATCCTCCAGCTTGGTCTTTAAACAAAAGAGATGGAGTGAAGGGTGGTAGGCATCTGTGTCTTTAATGCATCTTTCTCCTAATTATATTTCCCTCCTTGTTTCTTGGTCTCAGCTGCGTACTGTAGATCTGCTCAAGTACAAGAGATTTTCAAACAAATGTTTTGCAGCTGAAACTAAGGAAAGATTCAAATGATTTTGGTTCCAGTTTCTCCCCCTCTCCCCAGTGCATGTTGGTAATGCCACGATGGAGTCCGTAACCATGGGGGTGTCACCGCTGTAACTGTGGTCTGCTGTTCCAACCAACACGCTGAATGGCAGTGTATGAGCGGGATTTGGTGTAGCACCATTTCTTTATTTGCTTTAAAAAGGTAAATTTTATGTAGTTCAGAAAAAAAAGTGGTACCTAAAACTTTACCGCCTCCTTAACTTGAATGCTGTGCTGCTACAAGGGAGCATGACTATACTGATGGCTGTTTGACAAATGAGCAAATAAATAACAGCTGTAAACCGAGCATTGGTGGGGTGCTCTGGAAGAAGGGGCTTTCTTTATCTCACAATTTTTTTTTTTTTTTTTTTTGGTTTTGTACTAGCGATTGAAGTCAACCAACTGGAAGCGTCTTTCTACCTAATCCTGGGGGGGTGCCAGGTGGCATTTTGGGATCCTCTGGGGCTTTATTCAAGGTCTTGTTACAACTGTATTTTCTTTTTGAAAGAAGAACGGAGCACGTTTCAGTGCTTGTTTCCTGCTTTCCAGCGCCATTCCTTCCTTCATGAGTGGCATTTTGGGGGAACTATGGTCAATCCTGAACCGGGGCTTGTCCCCACCTGGGAAGGGAGCCGGAGCACGGCTCTGCTCCTGCCTGCCCCACGCCTTCGGAGCTTTTTGGGCTCGAGTGGGTTGGAGGCTGTCCCTGGAGCTCTGGTTTTGGGTGTGCAGGAGACTTTCCCGGGACCTCCCCTCCTGTGCCCGAGACTCGTCCGTCCGTTCCATCTTGCGTCACGATGTTCCCAGCGCCTGGCGGGAGCCGGCACCCCCCGACCCATCCCAAGGATGGGGAGAGCTTCATCCCTCTCATCGTTGGCGGTGGGAGAAGTGGCTGTTTTTGCCACTTGCTGCGGTTTTGGGGTGCGGGGTGGGGGGGAACGCCGTGTGCCCCAGCCTTCCTCCTGCTTGGGCTCCCCTCCGCCTTCGGGCTACCGTGACCTGGTCAGCCGTGGGGCCCCGCAAGTGGATGTGGGGGCCCACGGTGAAATGGCGAGGGGCTGTTTCATCCCTCTGCCTTCCACTGCGGGGCTGGGGGGGTCTCACCCCTCCTGCTCTTGCACCGGCAGCTCCGGGAGCCGCATTGCACCGGGGCGGGGGCGGGGGGGGAAGGAAGGAAAGAAGCCCCCACGCAGCGCACGGGGGGCCGTGCGGGCTGTCACCCCGCCCCACGCAGCGTGATCCGCCCCGCACTGCACCGGCGGGGGCGGGACG